AATTGTATACAGAGCATCAACAGAAGACAAATATAGTTACAGGCAATCCCACAATCTAGAACAATTTGGTCAAAATAAAGAACCATCTTTCAACAGCCCAACTATTACCTCTGCTATTACAGCTGGGGTATCAAAATCAGGTTCCCCAGCAGCTAAGCGAATAACAGGCACTCCAGCTTGTACAAGAGCTGTAGCTTGGTCAGTGATAGCAACTGTCTTTGAAGGCTTCACTGAATTTACCCTTGGACTCAGAGAGATATCAACCTCCATGGTTCCTAAGCTACTTTGAGCTCTCACAACAGCATTTAATCTATTAGAATCCAACTCTCTTCTTGAATCTGCAATTCTAGCCAAACATGCATCGAAAACCAAATTATAGAGATATACAAAGGGAGAAGGATTAAAATATACGATATACATTTGAAATATATAAAAAAAAGGATTGTATATAAACAACAAATATTTTGATAAATTAATCAAAACTGAAGACAAAGTATGAGTGCGCAATTTGATTTTGGAATTTGCTAAAAATATATCATTTCTCTTAATATGAAAGTCGGACCAGCTTGGAATACCAGCAATAAGCAGAAGCATGCATCAGAAGAATTCAACAGAGATATCCTCCAGATCAGTGACTTGATAACAGGTATTGAAATGAAAAGAGCTCTGGATTTAATTTATACAGTCACATGCCCGATTGGCATAGGAAGGAAAATAACAACGCAAAAGAATGTCTTATTCTAAATGTTGAGATGTTACATATCAGCATACCAAGTGTGCACCATTGTTCCCCAGGGGCTGTGATGAGTTTTAACTTCAACCAACATGTTTTGGTGATTGTTAGAAGTAACAGCCAGAAAATATTCAAGGCCTACTTAATGCTGATAGTCAAAGCTGTCTAGAATCTGCAATCAAAAGGCGTTACATTCCTATCTCTTGCTGCTGATATTTTAGCACACTGAAAACACTTCAGTCATTTTGCTCTAATAAGGACATTTTCTCCTTCACTTAAAGGGCCACTCGCTATATCTTGCTTCTAAATTATTGTTAATCTTCCTGTGTCTGTTTTGCTACTTGCTACCCTGACTCTATCATCTATCTCTTTCTACTTGAAATGCCCAAACCACCTTGAACATAAATGTGTAATCAATCAATTTTTTCCTTCCATAAGGAATTAGACTAGCGAAAACATACCATCATTTCCAAACTTCCGCCCCAAACCAAGATACCATGGACAATTTTATCAATATATATTGCAGCCCCAAAAAAAAAAAACACTCCAAAGTCAACATTTTGTATAACTCATTCCTTACTCCAATTGGATTAATCAGTTCAGAACAAGTTAATCCCTTGTAAATTGCAATAATAGCAGATACCCTTTATCCACAACAATGACACGGAACCCAAAAAAAAAAGTCTTTTAAACACAAACATGCAGGAAATCCAGAAAGACTAAGCAAATCCAATTGAACCAAGAATATCAGTTCAGAACAAGTTAATCCCTCGTAAATTGCAATAATAGCAGATACCCTTTATCCACAACAATGACAAGGAACCCAAAAAATAAGTCTTTTAAACACAAACATGCAAGAAATCCAGAAAGACTAAGCAAATCCAATTGAACCAAGAATAAGAAAACAGGGAAAAAGATGCTTACTTGATTGAGAGATCGAGCCTGTGAAGTTGAGAAGAGAAGGAGAGTGATCTGCAGCGCTGATGACGATCAGTTAATGCAAGAGGTTGGGTAGTTTTGGAGGCAATGCTTCTTGCTGATGAAGAACAAGTTTGAAGAGAATATGATGAAGCAGCAGGCATTTTGGGAGAGTTTGGTGGGTTGTATATTAATTACAGCTCCCAACTTGGCAGTTTTCAGTGGACTCTTTGTGCTTAAAACAAAAAAGAAGCCACCAAACTTTTCTTTTACTGTGTGACTGCGTGTGCCTGATGGAGAAAGAGAGAGCTTTGGGGTTGGTGGGAAGGAAGAGGGGTTTGGTTTGGTGGGGCTCGGAGACTTCTGCCAAGGGGACTAGGATCACCGGTGATATGGGGGTTGTTGAACTTCAATTCAAATAAAATTAATATAAATGCTCTTCTCTTTTTTTTTTTTTTGGTTAAAATTTATCAATAAATATTTAGCACATTTATTTAAATACTTAATTTATCTTACTTATTTTTTGGTACAAAAATTTATGAGTATAATTATTCTATACTCTTTTTTTTTTTTTGGTATCTAAATTTGTATCTCTTACAAGGTATATTGGTCATTGACACGTAGAGTAATGCTTTTGGATGAAAAATGTGTAGATTTAATTGTTTACTTTTGATTCACTGGAAAAATTGGGTGATGTTTTTGGATGAAAAATGTGTAGATCATTATTCTGTTCATTACATGCAAAATCTTACTTGTGCTAAAAACAGCCCAATTATATTACTATCTTTTTCATAAGTGATAAGCTTTACCATTGTTAAGAACTTAAATTCCCAAAAATGACCAAATTGTTCTCCTGAAATATTTCCTAGTAAATTAGCAATCTTAAGCAATTGTGAAATTCTTTGTGAGATACAGGAATTTAGACTGTAATTTGTTTTGATTATTTTCCACTTTTTTGGACTCTTTACCTTTATATATATCACAGTACATTGGCTGGTCGTTGATATCAAAACTATTACGCATCCGAGTAGAAAGAAAACCATGACAAACATTAGATGGCCGTCTAGCCCTGTCAAAGCAGTTCAACTCTTTACTACACCTACGTCTCCAGTATAGAAAGAAAGCACAAATTTCTACTTCCATTTTTTTTTTTTTTTTTTGTTAAAGGTAAAGAACATATAACTTCCATTTAAAAAGGACAAATCAGCTGCCAATGCAGAGTCAATAAACAAAGGAGATGAATTCCAAATTGAACTTCCTGCAGAACTGGGCTGCTTTTCTAACAACTGTGCTATTTTTTTACAAGATCTACGTGACCAGGGCAGCTCCAAGTCCTCAGGACAGGCCGAGACCTTACATCACCCAACAATGCACCAACCGAAGATTAAGTCCTCAAACTCATCTACTAGAGATTGAATGACCATTGCAGAGTCACCTTCTATTAGCACTTCCGTCCATGATGCAGAGACAAGAGAGAGAGCTTCCTAGACGGCTCTTCTTGACTCAAAAATTGTGCCAGACTCCAGGCCCTGCAATTCAGCCACCAGGGCAGGCTGATTTTTGGCCAATTTTACAATCTTATAGCTGCTCCCGGCTACCCTTTTTCAAAGACAGTTAACATAGGAAGGGAGAAAAAATAAGAAAAGGAGCCCCACCCCTCCTCATAGCCATGAGAATATCATCTACTACTTCATAATTCATTTTATGGAAATCCTGTCACTGAGCTTTGCTTGGGCATCAAATAAACACCACCAATAAGTGCCACAGTTCACTAATCACGATAATGGTACACTGCGATAGGGCACTAACTAAAAAAATTTGTGTCTCTATCATTCTGGTAAAGTGAAGCATTGTTTCACCTTTCACCTTCGCAAAATGCAAACTTGGATAGCTTCATATAGCCCTTTTGAACTCAGACTCAAGAAAAATTCAGTAACATGGACAACTTTTTAGCTGTCTAAAAGTAATTCTCCCTAGTAAAAAGCACAAGTCCTACAGCAGAACAAGTTTCAGTAAAGTTTCATTTGTTGAGACTTGAAATTTCTGTAACCAGTGAATCCAAAAGCAACTAGTTATGATCAGTAAAAGTTAGACTATTCCTAGCAGTAAGTGGTTAGCTGCATTTACGTACAATTAAAAAGATGACCTATGTAAGAGAGCCACATTTTTTTCCCCTGAAGAGTAAACAAGAACTTAATAGCACTAGAAGTTGTACATAGTGCAGAAAACTACATTTTCAGCAACCATTAGCAATCATCATTCACAAAATTCACTAAAACCTGAAAGAAGCTTAAAATTACTGAAGCAGCAGTAACATCAACAAGACGTGATATTGTACAAGAATGGCAACAACTACAGAACCTCCAGCTGGATGAAGTAATGTTAAAAATGGGAGAAAAGTAAAAAACCTAAGCTTACAAGTAGTAGGCACTGAATCAATTTATTCTGAGAACGTCTGTCTGTCGACAAATAAAGGCTAATTTTTAGAACATACTAATTTTTTGAACATAAACGAAGACAAAGCCAACCACAAAGCCAGTTGATTAATTCATTTTGAAGCAGCTACAAGTTTAAAGAGGGGTATCAATATTATTGAAATTCTAATTCAGGAAATAACAATGTCAAACAAAAATTTGAAGATTAAAATTGTGTCAAATGAATGATCAACAAAGGGAAGAGCCAGAGAGAAAGTAGTCAAATGGAAAATTATAAACATCATTAGTGCCCTGGCTCATAACTTTTCATTCAAGTAGAACATATATAGCCATTCAAGCTAATGCGATGTTCATGGCTCATATCATGCCAAAGATTGATGGATAAAGAAACAGCCACACTTGCTCCAATATCTCTTAGCAGAAATGATCAGACTCGTACAAGTACAATACAATCAGTGTACAACATAGTAAAGCACCAAAAAAAAGCACTCTCTAAGTGTTTTAAGTTTTCTGACAAAATACCAAGAGACTAGATAATTTCACATGCAGTGGTAATGCAGTAACTCTAAAGCCTTCTGGTGAATGCCAATTAATAAAGTCATCTGTTTAAAACAGGTCTGGAACCCTACCTTCCGAACTACATGAAACCCTACCTTCTGAACTACATGAATAACTATGTGAAAACTAACATAATCATGTAACACAAAACGCAATCTGCCATTAAAAGGAGCACAATAAAACAAATATTAAGTTCTGCTTCAACACATAAGCGATTGATAACTCAACTCAAGCAACTTTCTAACTGTAGTTACAAAAGTTTCAAACAAAAAAGCCACTCAACAATCAACATTAAGCAACCAACAAGAGTCAATGTCTCATTGATGCAAATATTCAGTCATACCATCACAATGCTCTACAAAAAAGGAAGTCATTTTTGCATTAGAAGATGAGCCATTATTAACCGAATTCAATTGAGTAAACTTACAGTAGTTACAAATCTTGGAATGAACTACCATTTAAAAATGAGGATTACAGAAGAAAATTGAGAAACATCACAGGATCACAAGCTTGACTGGCTATCTAAGAACTAAAAGAACTCTTGTAAACAAAGTAAAGCAACAAAATGTGGTTTCAAATCTATTGAAAGTCAGCTACTCAACAACAACAAAAAACAAATTGAATATCTATTTCATCTCGAATGTTCAAAGTCAAAGACTTGACCATAAAAAATCTACCTCAAGTCCTAGTACATGATGAATCAAAGTCATCTGGTGCAACCCTAGCAATCCAATTACTAAGTGTCTTCTTAATGTCAGCATGATTAACATAAGCCAACTCATACATACTACACAAATTCACCACAAGTGTCTCGTTCAATGCCACGGTAGGCACCCTCTCCAATGCATTCTCCAGAACCTTAATCGAATCAGACAAATCCCTCAAATACATCAAACAAAGAGCCTTATTGTTAATCGCTACAGCATCCAATCCATCCCTCTCTATACACACCTCATACTCCCTGACGGCGGAAACATAATCCTTCCCAACTAGATACATCAATGCCTTATTCCTACTAACCAAGTTCCTCAATCCTACATCATCTTCTCCACTCCCCACCATCTTCTCCACTTCCCCAAACGTCCTCTTCGCCCCCTCCAAATCCCCATATTGCATTTGCACATAACCCAACTTCGACAACATAACTGCATCAACCTCAAATCCCTTCTCATTAGCCAAACCCCTCATCAAATCCACACAAACCTTAAACTCTTTACCACTCAAATGATAACTAACTATAGTATTCACCACAAAAACCTCCCTTTTTCGCCACAAATCGCCCGAATTTCCATCCGCGCTACGCCTTTTCTCGCGAACGAAGTCAAGGAGGGTATAAAACCGATCAAGGGACTGCTGTTTATGCCCAATGGTGGATGGCAAATGGGCGTGAAGCCAACGAAGAGCAAAGGGTACCATAGAACCCTGTTGATTCGGGTAATGGTGGGGGTAAGTTTCGTACTGGTATTGTGGGCTATTGAGAGGGTGATCGCCATCGTTTTCGTCGTCCTCCAGGTCGGACTGGAGCTCGTTATTGGCGTCGGTGAAACGGCGTAGTTTGACGAGGCTGAGGAGGTTGAAGGTGAGGTAGATGAGGTGCTCGTGGGGCTTTGTGAGGAGGGAAAGAGACCGGGCTCGGGCTATTTTGTCGATGATGGTCCGCCAGGAACCCCGGCAAGCGAGGTCTTGGAGAGATGTGAGGTCGTGGCAGAGGGAATTGAGGGAGTTGTATGGGTTATTTAGTGGGTCGACGAGGTTTTGGGGTGGGGTGATGGGGGTTTGAGGATCTGGAGTTGATGGATCAGTGGCGGAGTCCGCGGCGGTGCTGGTGGTGGCCATGGTGGAGGATTGAAACGATCGCCGGAGAGTAGCTGCAGATTGCCGAGGAATAGATAATTGAAAATTGGGTTAAATTTGTTGATGTTTTAGATCTCGCTGTTGGATCGGTGATAAAGTTTTGGGTGAAGCCCGGAAAAGGATTTTGGGCTGAAATCTTGGGTGATGTAGGTTAAGGTTGGCCTTATGAATTGGAATTTAAGAAAAATTGACATATGAACAGTTCAAAATGCAGTCTCAATTTTTCTTTCTCATTATCATTTTGGTTTTATCATTCCTACAACAGACATGGTTAATAAGTACGCTTTCTTGCAATTGTTGTAGGTTTAAGGCAATGTTGTTAAACTCGGATCAGATAGCAACTCGGCTAAACTATTGGATCAGGGTCAACTGATCGGATCGATCAGATTGTTTTAAAAAATTCACTGATGTCAGCCTAATGTCGTAATTATTTTATATTTTTATAAGTTTTAGAAATATCTAAATTAAGTTCTTTGTTATATTAGACCAATCATGCAAGATGTTCCAAAAATATTAGACTTGCAATCAAATATACACATAATAATTATATATAAAAATGTAAATTCATGGCTAAAATATGTCCATTCTCCAAAATTACTTGAAAAACTAAATTAAAACGATTTAATGTAAGTTGGAATTACTGATACTACATTGATAAGATGATACAGATGAAAACATCTTAATTTAGAAATCATTCAACAAAGTAAGTGATTTTAGTATTTACACTAAATGAATGGCGTTTTCTTATTCCTATTAATAAATGAAAGTATTACAATTTAGGTAACTCAAATTATGTTTGAAAAAAAAAGAAAAAAAAGTTTGAGAATCGAGTCACTGATTTAGCCGATTTTTGACAATTTTTATTAATTTTTTACTAAAACGTTTTTGTGTGACAAACCAGCTCGAAAAGAAGACTGGTTCACGATCGGGGGCAGCCGAACCGACTGGTCCGAACCGGATCTAACAACACTAGTTTAATGTGTAACTTTAGTATTGTTTAATAGATTTGAAAGTAATTTTTATCGACTTGGGGCTTCTCTTACAAATGGAAGCGCCATCCGGGCGATGGAAATACTGCAACATGAAATTATACACAAGAAATCAAGATTGTAAAGGAAATTTTCATAAAGGAATTTTTCCAAGCATCTTTAAGCTAATTTCATCTTTATAAACCTCAAATCCATTCGCATCCTTGTGTCAGCTCAGTTGAAAAGACTTGAAAATTGTCCTATGATGTTTTTATTTATGAACTTTTGTCGGTCGAAAAAGTCTCTTCTCATTTTATTCCAAAAGTGACGAGGAGGATGAGAAAGGAAATAGTAACTTTATGTGACTTCAACTCGATGAAACATTTGTGCTACATTGGAACTTGAACAGAATAAGATTTTATCTACGTTGTTCAAATAAAGAGTGCAGCTCCTGGTTCAATCTAGACCAGAATTTATTTTCAAATTACCACATAAGTCTTTCATATATATAATTTTTTAAAGAAGAAATGAAGAGTTGTTCCACAGGTACTCCTACTTACTTACTTGAGCCCACTCTTATAGTCTTAATCTAAACAATAACTATGGATAATTAAAAAAAACCAACAATTTTACCATAAATCAACTTGATGTCTCATACTAATGCAAACAATCTCACACTAAATTTTTTACTAAGATACCAGTAAAGGACTAGACCATTTGTAAGGCATTTGCTGATATTAAAATAATATTCAGCAGAAGTCTCTTTTCTTTTCTTTTTCCCTTTTTTTCCGGAAAAGTAGTCTTGGAAATACTTTCATGAATGAGGAAGACATGAAAGAAAATAACAATAGGTGTGTTTGGATATTCAAATTATTTCAAATATGATTTTGGTTGTATTATAAATATATTTTTTCAACTAATTCATATTATTTCAACTGTTTTTTCATGTTACATACCTCATTTCATAAAAAAATGTCACAGTAATTATTCTAAATGATATTTCAAATAATATTTCAGAAATTTCCTTTTTACTAAAAATATCATTTCTAGCTCCTAGTGGATAGTTATACTGGTTCGTTCTATTTTTTCTTTGATGGAGTCGCGTCTGCTGAACACAAAATTAGAACTTGGCTTCATATAACATATAGGCTAATATTGCCGAAATAATAGGAGTACATCTAGGGCTGCAAACGAGTCAAGTCGAGTCGAGTTTTGAGCTAATCGAGTCGAGTCTCGACTAAATTTTACCGAGCTCGAGCTCAAACTCAAGCTTGACGAGCCGGCAATTTTCGAGCTTGAGCTCGATTCGAATCAAGTCGAGCCGAGCTCGAGCTCGAAAAAAATAAAAAATAATTATTTTATTTTTAAAAAATAAATAAAATAATATTTTTTTCTTAATAAATAATAAAATATTAAGGATATATACGTAATTTTACTATGAAAATAAAAAATAAAAAATATATATATAATATACGTAATTTTATTATTAAATAAAATATATATATATATATATATATATTCAAGCTCGCGAGCAACGAACTTAATATTCTGAGCTCGAGTTCGAGCTCGAGTTTGACTCGAGCCGGCTCGAGCTCGACTCGAGCTTGACTCGAGCCGCTCGCGAGCGGCTCGATTCGTTTGCAGCCCTAAGTACATCTCATGGATCGATCATGTAGATTAGAAGTTATCTTTGAATGATCGCCAGTCTGCCTTTATTTTCTAATTAAACACACCACCAATCTATATTCTAGGTTGTTTTTAGGGTTAAATGCAAAAAACCCCCACAACTATATATCGAGTTAGTTTATCTTCTAAACTATAATAATAGACATTTTGCCCCATTGAATAATATGTTTGGACAAATCTACCCCTTTTATTTTAAGCATTGTTATTTTTCTTTTTTCCCTATCATTTTCTTTTTAAATTCTTCCTTTTTTTTTTCTTTAAACATTGTTTAAATTAGTAGACTGGATTAGTCAAAATTTGTTTATTTCTTAATTTCGTATGTCAATATTTTATAAAAAAAAATCTATGGAATATAAGATTTTTTTTCCAAATGTTGAAGTCAATGTCATTTAAGAAATTGAACTTTTCAAATATATAATAACAAAATAGAGAAATTGATTAATCAATTATTAGTAGTATCAATAACAAAAAAGATGAACTACTATTGTTGTTTATTCTTATTTTTTATTTCACTACAAATAACAATTGCTAACTTTTCTTTTTTATGTGATATATAATATGTTACTTTTATTATAAGTAGTTGAGTAACTATGAACTCTTAATTAGTTTATAGGTACTTAAATTGTTGCATTACTAGATTAATACATTTTACAATATAAGCTACATATATTTTGTAATAGCAAATTTAAAAAGTAGTTTAAAAAATATTAAAATTATTAAGAATGAATTTAACAAATAAACAAATGAAAAAAAGTGTTTTAAAAAAGTAGTTTATGACAAATTATTAAGAATGAATTTAACAAATAAACAAATTAAAAAAGTAGTTTAAAAAATATTAAAATTTTTATGTAAGTCTTTTCACATCGGAGAGAGATGTTGGCTAGTTCCAAGAGAGAAGGAGAATAAAAGGGAAAAAATGAAAAAAAGCTAATAGAGAAAAAAAAGAGAAAGGATTTAAGATAGTAGGGGTAGTATTGTCCAAACATATCATTCAATGGGGCAAAATGTCTATTATTATAGTTTAGGGGGTAAACTGCAACTGAGTGTATAGTTTGTGGGGGTTTTTTGCATTTAACCCTTGTTTTTATTAAGAACAATCTCATACAAGATTATCTTCGTTTTAAGCAGTAGCCCAAATCTTTGAAATAACCAATTCATGCTTACTCTTCAGTCTTCACCAGGCATGCACCTACCCGAAGGAGAACAATGGTTAATATTAAGAGTGTCACAGAAGAGGGTTTGCCCAGAAACACATGCATAACCACTGCAGGTGGAATCCAAAGCAGTGATACAAGGAATTCCACACTGATCATCAACTGTCTGAAGTAATCTTCTTGAGATGCCTATCATCATTTTCACTTCCATCCCTTTTAGAGTTGGCAGTGATAACACATTAATAACTGCAATTTAATACCATTTAACAAAATTTGGTTAGATGAACAAGTACTCCTTTTATATATTTTCCCCCCTTTTTTATCCTAAGGCAAAGTTTTTTCCCCTTTTAGATGAACAGGTGTGTTTTGATTGAAAATAAGAAAAAAATGTTTGGCCAACTAGTTCCAAGTATAAGCACTCGTTAAAGGGGTTAATTTTTTTTTTATTATTATAAAAGTCAAGTTGATTGGCAAATGTTTCTTTATGCAGGAGTAATAAATATGAATGTGTGCATTCGCATTGTAAGTTAAGTGTAACATAACATCCACTATAAAAATTTTAAAAAAATATATTAGTATAAAACTTTGGTAAGTAATATAATATATGTGAGATAAACAAATATTAAAAAGATAAAATAAAGTCGGAAAATGAACTTAATTAAGGAATAATCCCATCAAGAAAATCCAATCTAGTGTTGTGTACATGAGAAAGAGAGAGGCTTACACATTGGAAGGATGAAGAGGGTGACTACAAGAATGGACTTGATTGAAACCTTCCCCATCTAGCATGCAACACTATTGGTGATGATGAGCAGCAGGAAGTTTTTGAATATTGCATGAAGTTATTCTACGTCGACTGGATTTATAGGAAATGAACTCGAACGTAACACTGCTACGCCTAACAGGCATGGTAGATAAACCCAAACTTTGCCAAATGCACTCATTTTCCAAAGACAATACAAGAATTAAATGTTTCCACAGCATGCCAAGACTTTGTCAACAATGCATATTAGTGCTTAAAACAACTAGTTCCTGAGATATCTTTCTCACATTTTAGAAGTACAAGGAGCAATATTGACAGCCATGCTTTGGTAAAGCTTTCTCGTTCATCAACTGGCTGAAGAATGCATATGAAGGCAGTTGCCCAACAAGTGCATGTTTTTCCCTTGACATAGAATTATTGCCTTTTGAAAGGTTAGACACAGAGAAAGAAAAACAACGTCCAAAACAAACCATATATTTCTGTCATTATGGGGAGGTATGGAGAAAATGAAAATTCAAAATACACCTCGTAATAAATTTGTAAATTTAGAGTATCGATTTGCATATACCCTTTTAAGCTTCTTGTACTACTACGTATTTTGCCTGTCATATATGCTTATCATTTTAGCTAATATATAAAACAAAGATGTGTAAAAAGTTAAAAAGGGTGTAAGTATTGCCATGACCTTTATCTATATATTCATGGTTGGACGCCTCCACGTAGTGCTTAATAAGAAACTGTTTGTAGCTAAATTATCCTAAATTAAAAGACTTGTCAACTGCTCAAAATTACCTATGAAGAGAGAGTTTCATGTTAATATTTTGAAAGGATGAAGTTGATTAAGGGAAATAAATATGAATATATGTATTCATATATTACTAATCTTAATGCAATTTGGATGTACTAATGAATACTTGCTGATACCGATTATAAAAATCCTCAGACAAAAGGGTTCTATCAGTTTACTTAGTTGAGTCTATTTGGAACTCTTTGATAAATAAAAGCACGTCTATGTGAAAGTATTGAAGTAATTCGTGTTGAAGTGGTAATTAATTTTGTGATTACATGTTACCCTCAAAATCACAATATCAAGGGTCTACCACCTTTGCAGATGAATAATGGATTTGGGAGTGAGGTCGATTGTGTTGCTATTACTATGAAGCATGGTCATAAGTAAACAAAATTGTTCGATTGGAAAACATGCCCCGATAAAATATAACGTTTGATAAATTACAATTCAAACGTATGTTCTGTGTTCTATGCTCACATGAGAGGTTATTTCTTGGCATTATAGTTTTAAATTCATGATACTACATCTTCTTTGGTGGTTCTATATTTTCCTCTTACAACATTATAGTGTAGGGTTGGTGTGAATAGTTCATCAAATCATCAGCATAGGGTAAAAATTGATCTGTAACGAAAAAAGAATGCAATTTCATTCCTAACTGTGGCCCCTGTACCACATTGCAGGGTTCACATGATCTGATTTGTGCCTTTGTTTTCTTTTGTTTTGTTATTTTGTATACACTTTTATGGTCAATGAAATACATGATTGGGTTGAAACAAAAATAATGAAGCAGATCTGAGTAATCTAAAATGTGGCCGGTGTCGTTTGAGTGTGATTGGATTATAGATAAAAGTCATTGGCTTTCTAGTGTCGTTAAAAGGATTCAAATCAAGCTTTACATAAGTAGCTAGACTAATTTTCCACGTACATATAAATATGGAATTTTATTCCACGTAGTACACGGGTTAGAATACACTCATAGGAGGTAGCCAAATTACCTATTTTGGGTTGATTGAGAATGGGTAGCCAAATTACCTATTTTGGGATTGGAGCAACTATCTCTTTGGATAATCAACAAATGATGAGAAGATGGGCTTTACAGGAAAGATGTTCTGGTCATAAACTAATTGATGAACTAACAGCTATTAAACTCCTGATGTGTAAAGCTGCAGTTCAGAATATGGAGAGGTTAGAAGTTCATGTCCAGGTTAGAAGTTCATGTCCAGAATAAGCAGACGCTCCACCTCATCCAGCAGACGAAATCTCAGGATATGCGAGTGGTAACACTGCTGGAGGATATACACAGCCTCAAGTACTTGTTTCGCATGTGTTTCTTTTGCTTAGTTAATAGGGATATTAACCATATTAGTCATAGAATTAGCGCTCATGCGTTAGACCTTTTTGATGATCAGGAATTTTGGATTCCTCAGTGATAGTTAGCACCGACTGTATAGTTCCCTCAAGTCTTTACTTGAAATTGTAAAGTGTTTGTTCATCTATAAAATCACTTATCGTTTCGAAAAAAAAAGGGTTGATTGAGAAGTGAGTAATAGTACATAAAAAGCTAGTAAATGACTTATTTAGTTATATCACATTAAAAAAAAAAATTCTCAAGCATATAAATACATACATATTTTTAATAGCATGCCAATTAATGAGTGAAAATCAACCATTAAGGTCGGTCCGGTGACTAGAGGAGGTTTTTTAGAACCCTTTCCGCTGTCAGGTCTAGGGTTCAAATCTTGTGCTTGACAGTTGGGGGTGAAAAAGACAGGGGGAGGATGACAAGTTAAAAAACATGAAAATCATTGCAAAGTGATAATAATTATAAATAAAAATCTCATAACTGTTAATTGTATGGCTATTATTTATAAATTCGTCAGTCCAAAGTAATTTAAACCGTGTTAGAATATGATGGGAAGCACATGATTATTATTACTATAATTACATATAAAAGAAATGGAGGAAATCGTGATACACGATTGTACATAAAACAAAAGGTCTTTTGTTTGCATCGTAGCTTTCATATTTGTTGTTAACTTTTGTCAGTCAACAATTTGGAAAAGTGCATTATTATGGTCTAAAATCACGTGGAACATGATTTTTTTTTTTTTTGAATTTTTCTCCAATATTTGCTAGTCCTTTTACTTATTAAGCACAAGCAAAGCGAATAACACAGGAACAAGAACTATTATAATACTATATAATTTAAGAGGATAGGTTGGGTCAGCTGAATACGGCCTAGTCCAGAAGTGCCAATAATTGTGCCAGAAGTTTATTTAGCGAGTGGCCGGGAGAAGACAGAGGTGAAGTGGGATTATAAGTTATAGGGATAATTTCACAAACCTTTGCTAAGATTTCTTGACAGTTGCACTGACCTATCCTGAAGTTTTAAAAATTTTAATTAGAAGCCTCCCCTATGATAAAATTGAGTCCTAATGCTTACATCATATATGCCTGTGAAATGACTGTGGTAACCTTATATCCTACAAGGCATTTGGCAATTATGTATATACTTAATCAATTAAATCAGTAATTAATTGAATAAACAGAAATAATCACAATTTAGAACTAAAAAGAAATCTAATTTGCCATGAGAAAAGGGTGACAATTCTAAATAATCATAGTTTGGAGCTAAAAAAATTTCTAACCTATGATTACAACTGCAATATTTGATCAACCCATTTCTAGGGTTTGAAAAGGCCATATTTTATTATTCTAGTTAATCATAGTTTGGCTTTGTTTAAATAAAAATTGATGCTTTTATGCTAGATTAACTAACTAATGTAACATGTGAGGGACAATTCTAAAATCATATTATCTTCTCTCTCTCGGATCCATTTTTAATTTTTTTTTTGAATTGGACTTGACTTGTTACAAGCTAACCTGTTGTAGGGTAGGTTTCTAAATTTTTAAAACCTCGAAGGAGGCCAATGCAATTGTTAGAAACATCAGGGGAGGTTACTGAAATTATCCCTAAGTTATGACTTGTAATATAAGTTGTAACTTATAAAGTGTAATTTTACGGATTAGTAAAGTTAGATTTTTTTTTTTAAAAAAAAAAGCTTGTGAAGTCACTTCTATTACTTTCTTTTCTTGGTAATTAATAAGGCTGCACTGGGCCAAAAGAAAATGCGTGTGGCTTATTGAATCTTTATATTTAAACTTCAAAAAGTGACTGCAAAATTTAAAATTCCAAAGCTATAAAATCATAAATGTAGCTGTTTCCTTTCTTATAGTCGAAATCATGATCATATCAAAACTAGTTTAAAAGCAACTATTTTAGGGTATATTATTTAGAAAAGCTCCTAAATTGAATTTTTTTTTTTTTTTTTTGGGAAAAGTTTACCTGCTTTCTTGTATTATGATTTGTTCAGTTTTTCCAATCAATTCCCTACAATGATCGAAGTTAATCCCGGAGTTTCATTTAATAAATACTGCTTGTTCTCAGTTTTGTAGAATCAACTAGTTACAGTTTCTTATTTGAAAAGCATATACATCTTATTGTATGTGAAAAAAGCATTAGATTTGAGAGATCAATAAAAAAAAATTAGGGCATGTAGTTTAGTTAACCTAGAATAAAATCAAGTGTATAGTTTTTCAACATTCTTATTCTCCATTGGCAAAATGTCAATGCAAGTTATTTTCTACACCAGATTTTCAGCTTTTATGATTCTGTGGAATTTGTACATCTTATATATCATCCCGATAGACTGCTAAATGCATGTGAAACACATTTGGTAGTTGAGATAAGATTCAAGCAAGAACTGATTCTATGGTCTGGACACAGCACTGATACTATGTCTATATATAGAGCAATCCAAAAACATGTGAAAGCCAAGCTGCTTAAGATCAAGGAAACGAATAACTATTCTTTCTTGCCTGAACAGCTTCTGTTGCATTAGTCCACGACCTTCAGAAACTGGTTTTATACCTAGTCTGAGTTAAGCCAGTCGAAGCTTAACGATGGGAAACATGGTTAAGCCTTTCCTGCAGGGACGAAGGCTCCTTGAAACATTTTTGGTTTTGTGTCTGTTGATTTACGTCATGGATGTTCCATCAGCAGCTAAGGCTGCAGGCAAAGTCAATAAACATGTATGGGATGTGAGATACAATTACGTGTCTCCAGATTGCTATAAGAAGCTGGCTATTACGATCAATGGATTGGTTCCTGGACCAACCATCCATGCAGTCGAAGGGGAAACAGTTGTCGTGCAGGTTACAAATAGTCTGGTAACTGAAAATGTTGCCATTCATTGGCATGGAATTAGACAGGTCAGTATAATACTATCTTATCCATTCATTAGCTGATGATTTGGCAGTAGGAAGAATTACGGTAAAATTTGTCATTGGCAGCATACCAACAACTGTTTTCTGGTTGCAGATTGGAACACCTTGGTCTGATGGAACAGAATCTGTCACACAGTGTGCAATCCAACCAGGGGATACCTTTGTATACCAGTTTGTTGTAGATAAAGTAAGCTTCTTTTTCCTTATAATTTTAGTGGAAGAAATGATTGAAAAAATGGACATTAAGGACATTGGTTAGACTGCCACTTTACAGCAATTTAATCAATGTCTGATCAGTTTCATCTTAGTATGATATCTTTTTGTGGAATCAAGTTTTCTTTGCACTATTTAGTGGTAAGTTTTGAAGTTATATGTTTTTCTCTTTTACTTCTTTTGCAGGCTGGAACATATATGTATCACGCACACTATGGTATGCAACTAGGAGATGGGATTTATGGCATGATTCGTGTGAAGGCTGCCCATAAAGAACCCTTTTCCTATTCATCTGAGCATGAAATCCTTCTAAGTGATTGGTACCACAAGAATGCATACGAGCATGCTATTGACCTCTCTTCAGAGCCCTTTGTTTGGGTTGGGGAACCTAATGTAAGATGATGAAGTATACAGTTCATCTTGCTTCTGAAATATAGTAAAAACATTATTACTTGCAACTATATATGAGGGCTACATGTATTTAGATTGTCTGTAAGCTAATGATTTTCTATTGATGTTGTGTTCCAGTCAGTTCTCATACAAGGAAGAGCATTTGCTTGCAATGAACCAGGAACTGAAGCTGGCCAATGTAAAGAACCAAATCGAAAATGTTCACCTTTTTCATTGAACGTAAGGCCTGGCAGGACAATCCGACTAAGGATTGGAAGCTTGACTGCTTTATCAACATTGAGCTTTGAAATTGAGGTAATTAACCTTGAATATGTCGTTGCACAAGAATCAACTCTCTGCATATTTCATTGGTTCTGTTTCTTTGATTCATATAGATTTTTCTCATAATGCAGGATCATGAAATGACTGTTGTTGAAGCAGATGGTAACTATGTGGAACCATTTAAGGTCAAACATCTGTATCTCTACTCGGGTGAAACATATTCAGTCCTAATAAAAACTTCCCCAAAAAAGGATCGTTCGAGAAACTACTGGATGGTTGCGAAAGTAGTCAGCCGCGAAAGCAGCACCCCAAGTGGATTAGCCATCTTAAACTACAATTTCAATCCTCCTTTGGCTCTACCTCCCACTGATCCACCTGCAGGACCTCATTGGAACGACACTTCAGATCGAATTGATCAAAGCGTAGCAGTCAAAGCGCACCATGCTTATCTTAACCCTCCTCCAAAGAAATCAGACAGGACTATTATTCTGCTCAATACACAAAATAAAATAGAAGGAAAAGTCCGCTGGTCCCTCAACAATGTCTCCCTGAACCTACCCCATACGCCATATTTGATTGCCCTGAAGGAGAACTTATCCTATGTTTTGGATCACAAAATTCCTCCAGATAGCTATGATGTTGAAAACTATGATATCCATAGCGTTCCCAAGAATACTGAGGCTCACCCCAGTACCGGTGGATTGTATAGATTGAAGTTCAACTCAATTGTGGATGTCATTTTGCAGAATGCAAATACAATGACACCTAATGTTAGTGAGACTCATCCATGGCATCTTCATGGCCATGATTTTTGGGTGCTGGGATATGGCAGGGGAAAGTTTAACATGGCAACCGACACGGCTAGCTACAACCTGACAAATCCAATCATGAAGAATTCAGTGCCTCTTCATCCTTATGGATGGACTGCACTGAGATTTAGAGCTGATAATCCAGGGGTTTGGGCTTTCCATTGCCATATTGAGTTTCATTTCTTCTTGGGAATGGCTGTGGTTTTTGAAGAAGGGATTGATCAAGTTGGAGAATTGCCTGATTCTATTATGGGATGTGGTGAAACTAAACCGTTTGTTAAGCCATGATTATTCTAGCTTCCATAGGCAGAAAAAATAAAGACAAACAGTATTAGTATTGGCACGGCACAAATCCTAGCCCTTTGGAAATTTCTTTTAAATTGACAACCATGCCCTTCACTAGTCAGAGATTGGGTTCATTTTGAAAATGATAAATTTATCATTTTATGAATAATTTGCTGTGGAACTAAAATAGGTGTTCTGGTATTATAATTAGTCATTAACAAATGACGTACTAAAATAGGTACTCTGGCAATATTACTAGCTAGTCATCTATGTTTTTTGTGTTCTAACTAGATCTATAAATCAAACCAAGCAACTTGGTATTTGATTTGAACTTGACTCGAATCAGACTCGTTTAAATTTGTTTGTTTAGGTATCAATCCAAACCCGAACATGATTTCAAGTTCAAAAATATTAATGAACCAATCACAATCTTCATGTTGTCCAATTTGATATATTCAGGAACAGGCAAATAAATTTAATAAAAATACACCTTTAGTTTTCTTCCTTAACGCTACTTATTTCCTTCCAGTATATTGCTTATCTTCTAAAATAGCAACCATATAATACTCTCGTCTTTTGAATAGGTATAATTGATTTTAATCACATTCCTGATTCATCATAATAGATTTGGTGAATATTAGAGAGCAAAAATTAAGAGGAAAAAAGCAACGAATTAGAGTGAAAATCTCTATATAATACAAAATAAAATTTCAAGTCAAGCTAAACTTTGATTGTATGTACTCAAGTTCGATATTTTAACATGCCAAATCAAATTTTGTATGAACATACATATGAATTTTTATGCAACATTTTGGACGAATAAATAACATATTAGTACTTACAAAACTAATGATTGTACATTTGTACTCAGAAAAATGGGTGAACCACTGACCTACAACACGCTTGGTCATCTTTAGGTTTTTGAGCCTACAAGATTTGGGCCTTGAGAAATTAGTTGGGCTACAAAATTGTAACAAATTTTAACGTCCATATCCTATGTACAGATAATATTCTGAATTCTTTTATGACCCAATAATGAACTGCTCGCTTCTGATTTAAATTAAGGTCTGTCTAATGAATTTTATTGGGAACTCGTTAAGATATACTTCAGTTGTTATAATTTTTAAAAAATAGGACTGATGAAGAAAAGTATAGAGAGGCAACAGAAGATTATAAGTAATTATTAGTGTGTATATACACATGACAGATTAGATGGAATTTAAGTATGTTAACTATGATCCATTGGACATCCGTGAGAAAAAACCTTTAAAATTATACAATGGAGAAAGAGGAAAAAGGACCTGTCATTTTAGGAAAGAAGAAAAAAGAATCTGCATTCTTCTGCAAGCAAACATGAAAATGGAGGATACTAATTAAGCATATATAGAAAGGATCGAAATCACTCAAAGGGCAAACAAATATACACTAGTTTCAACTGGATTTTAACTGAAAAACCCAATTAGTCGAAATATATTTTAAACTTATGTAAAAGTTCTATTATCGATTCTGATTAACAGTAACCAAACTGTAAAACAAATATCTGAGAACGATTCTCATTTGTGTGTTTTCTTCTCCTTCTTTTTTCCTAATTGCCACCAACATTTTTAATTCTTCAGTTTCATTTGATTTCGTTTTGTTCTTAATATTTTCCTCCCATCTGCTAGTCTTGTCATCACCAATGCTGCCATGGTCACCGCCAGCATTACTGATTACACATTTGGTGTTCGAGGAAAACGATTGAGGGCCCTTAAAAAATGTAAAATATTTACGACTTTAGCTATTACCAGTTCCCACGACTTTGCGTTCGGATTGCCATGTTAAGGGCGTTCCTATTTTCAAGGCAAAGAATCTGCGTGATGGATTATTCTTTTTGGACAAATGATTGATCGAACGAGTCAAGTTCATCTATAACTAATTGAACACTAATCAAAGGAGACATAGTCCTTGTTTGTTGTCGATTGCTTTAGATTTGACAAGATCTATTTATAGAAATTGATTATAAAGAATAATCAGAACCGATAAAAGTTACTCGTTGAGTAATTATAAATTTTAGGTTTTTTGGTCATTTAAAAATTTTATAATCACAATACAAAAATAACCGAGAACATCACAAAAACCAATTAGTCAAAATCAGAATCTATAATCAGATAAATAATCAATCATTGAGAGGACATAATAAATGCACCGGGATCAAGCCCTAACCTTTCTTTAATTTCATATCAATTGCCAAATAAATTTTTATCGCACAACATTTTCAGTTCGTCGGAAAGTTGCTTCTACAAACACAACTATATATATAAACAAAAAAAAAAAAAAAGTTCACCACAAGTTCAAATTACTTAGTATGCTGCTATTGATCCACTACTTCTCCCAAGGCCTTCTGCATTTTGTGGCACATTCATCCAAATATTGAACCAAAAACTAAGAAGAAAAGACTTGGAACTAAAAAAAAAAAAAAAAAAGTAAATAACTATATAAAGCCTAGTCAACGCAATCCTCAACTTGCACCAATAAGCTACAGTTCACAAGAATACTACTAGTAAACTGAAGAAGAATGCATGCTTAGAAGTTAGAAATTGTCTTAAAATATTTTGGGTCTTTGCCCTCGTTCAGGGACTCATTCCATTTTTAGATCTCATCCACCAAGTTTTGTGCTGAATGGTGGAATAAATTAAGTACAATCGACGAATACGGCCGTTGGCTTGCTTTGAAGTTTGAACGTGGTGGGTAGAAGTACCTCACACTCAAACTGCATTGAACCACTTAATTAACTTGTTTATTTAATTTGCATGCGTTTTGTTTTTGTTAATACGTATCAACACATAATTAGGCTGCAAAAAAAATCTTGTTGGTCAATGCCAAACCACGTGCAGCAAGAACACCACGAATAGGAGCTATTTCTAGATTACTTGATGCTATCAGTAATATTTCTTGATCCCCCGCCTGCATTCAAGAGGGTGCCTTAACTACGCCCATTTGATTCATTCTCATCCCCCTTCCCTTAGCATAGGAGGACGAGTTGTAATTGTTGTATTCGAAAAAAAATAGTTCTTGATCAACAAACTTAGGTCCCGATTGGATTGCGTTTTTTTTTTAAAAAAAATTGTTATATTTTTCGTGAACATATTTTTTATCACTTTTTTATCTCACGTATATCAAATCGTTGCAGTAATTTTTCTATAAAAAAATTCAGAAAAATGCAATTCAAACCGAGCTAATTGGTAGTAAATGCAGGGAATCCTGACCTGATTTTGGTGTTCACGATCAAGTCGACGTCAACCCTTGAAACCAGAGGTTTTACCATTCAACGAGACAAAATGGCACATGTGGACAGCTTGATTAGACCCTTTCAAAGAAAGGTAAACGAAAGACAACTTCTGAGAGATTGGGATTAATTATATAGTTTGCCGTAATAAGCTGCTGCAAAGTCATTGTTGACTTGAAGATCGTTCTTATCCGTAAATTGATGAACACGCAATAAACTTACTTTTACACCACCAGCTCCACAGCTTACGCAAGGGTGCTGACGTTAAATCGTGTACGCACTCATGTTGGAATTAATTATTGTATTCTTTGTCGTGTTATTTTTGGACAAAAATGATTTAAGTAGTTCATTGATGAAATTGGGTACAACCAATCCACAATTCTTGCATCTTTGGTGGTGGCATGATTGTATTTTAAATAAGATAGGTTACAACGCAAACAAAGCCTTGTATCCCTTCGGCGACATCCAAAAAAATTGAAACGACGCAGAGAAGATTAGCATAGCCCTTGTTTGTGTAAGGATGACACGGACAAATCGAGTACTAATAACCCTTTGTAGGCTGTTGAATGCTTTGAAAACCACCAAATAAAACCGTTATAGAGATGTTGATGGCATAAGGCTTGTGTTTAATATCCATAATTGAGTATGGAATGGTGCTTGCAACCTGCCACGGAATGAAAGATTTTAGTTGATGTTTTGAAAAGGTAAGTAGCTTGTTGCGGATTGCCATTGATGAAGTCTTTGAACATTAGGATCTATTTCAGCACCTCGTTTGTAAATGACAGGATACCTTCGCAGCACTAACAAGGTAATGAAATGTTCTGAAAAGGAAAATGGATTAATGGGATCAACTATACCTTATATCATTTATCATGAAAACGCGTGTAAGAACATTTGAAGATTGATCAGATTTTACGAGGTCAATTCAATTCTCAAACTGTTAGGTAAACCCTACGTAAGACCTTAGTCTTAGTCTATGATGGATCAAGAATTAAAAGAAACGGTTAATTATAAAAACTCCCCTTAAGGTATATCAATTTTTTGCATTTTGCCTCCTAACATTATTTGTTCTCATTTTATCTCCTGAACCGTCAATTGACTCTAATGTTGTGTAATAGTAATGTCAAAAAGATATTTATACATTTAATAGTTAAATGTAGTAATCCCCGTAACTTATTTTGCACTTTGGCACTTAACAGCATTTTTTTTTTCCAAATTTGTTTGTTTGTCACTATAATTTGTTAGTGAACTCCAATATTTTATAACATCCAGAACAAATAATGTTTAAAAAATTAATATCCCTAACATAGTAATACAAAAATAAAATATTTATAGGTATGGTGCTAATTAAATTTTATCCCATGATTATATTGTTTTTTTAGATTCAGAGAAATATATTGTTAATTTCACGTAACAATAGGAAAAAATAACAAAAAATTGTTATTGAAAAATTAATATGTGAAATTATTATTAAAAGTCTAAAAATGCTCGAATATTGTCACTTCCTCTTTACGAACGTGCATATGGTTGCATTTTCTTTTAATAGCCAGATATTTTGTTTATTTGGCCGTATCCATTTTATTGTTGGTAATACTTAAAAAATAGAGAAAATGGTTGATTTGGGATTCAAAGTTTTTGGGGTCATTTTTATAATATGGTATGATTAGATGGTATTAAAAATTGTTTGGATTGCTAAATTTTTCTAAAAAATTTTTTTGTTGCATCATAAGCATGTTCTCAATCATTCTTTTATTTTTTTTCAACCATCTTTTTATTTTACAAACATCAAATCACAAAAAGTATTACAGTATTATTCTAATTTTTTTTTCAAATAATCTTCAATCCAAACAAACCCAATCGATAGACCTTTAATAATATTTTTATAGTTTATTTTTCACTAATAATTTTTGTTTTTCCCTTTATCTGCAAAATGAGCGGGATATTTTTCCTCCATCTAAAAACCTATAATTATGGAGTAATGACAGGGTGTCGAAGCCTGTGCAATAATAAAAACCTGCTCAAACTAAAATTAATTTCTATAGATAGTGGTAAGTAGGGTCGAATCCACAAGGACTAGGAGTAATTGTTTCTTTTTAAATTCCCAATAACAAAGGGGTGTTTTTATGCAGAAGGTGACAATAAAAGAAGTTCAAATAAAATCTAAGAAACTACTAAAAATTAAATAATAAATTACTAAAATCAAATGAATGATAATTAAGGATCTAGCCAAGGAATAACTTCAGCAATGGTTCACTTAATTGATCATCGATAAGCAAAGGCAATTCCAATTATTTACTAATAAATAGGTTATAACTGCCAAACAAGCGATGACAGTCAACCCCTCCTTACTGTGTCGATGATTAAGGTACGCCCGTTAATCACTGCTCTAATTGAGAAATAATCCTAGGTACGCCCATAGAATTTAATTCCCCAATTACCTTACGTATTAGAGGAGCCCTATTCTAATCAAATAACGCACTACCAGGGTTATTTTAGATTAAGCCGCGTATTCCCCTGACACGAACCCAATCATGCCAGTCGTCACTATTTTGAGACAATTAAACAATTACGGATTTAACGTACCAATTGACAATAGATTACCAAATTAACTAATTATCCAGATCCAAGACAATCAATTAATTAAACAATCATAAGCACTGTAATCAGGAAATATGCGAATATCAATAAATAAAAGAAAAAGATAAAATTAAATCGATCTCATAATTTTAGGTGACCCAAAGCACCCGTTGTCCCTTGACTAGGGTGAGAAAATTAGTTCATAGTTGATGAACAAAATCCACAAGAAATTGAAGCAAAAGCTGCGGCCATCAATTCGGAAGTTGGGCGAATTCAATTCGTCTATTTCTTTAAGAAAGCTACAAAAGGTACTTCATAGTTTTCCTTCGGTCTGGACATCCGCAGGAACCAAACCACTAAAAGACGAAAAAGGAAAAGTCAAAAGCTTTCCAGTCCTTTTCTCATCACATTCACGGAGAAAACCAAAAGGGAAGAAAGGCAAACAAAGGAAAAGTCAAAAAGAAAACAAGCCTAAGTTACTGAACGGAAATTTCAAATTTCTATCTAAATCCTATTCCAATGCTCTCCTTGCGCAGCGGCCCCCTTCCCGAGAGGAAGAAGAAGACTCCCACTTCAGCCCTTCGTTCCTCCTTTTATTGCTGTTCTCTGCGAATTATCAAAAAGGACTTGTATCTCCTTGTTCCAAAAATGCCCTGAATGCCTGCTACTTGAACTCTTTCCTGATAACTGTCAAATCGGTACTTATTATGGTATTTTCGTTCTATTCCCTGAAATATATATAAAATACTAAAAGTGAGTAGAATCTAACAATTAATTCAGATTGGGTCAGGTAATAGGAGAAATTAATAATAAAATAAATGATAAAATCGCAACCTATCAAGTAATATTTAACAAGGCCTATATTCATAGATATACAGTAATTTTCATTATTATGTTAGGGATGCTGCTATTTTTAAATATTATCCGTCTTGAGTGGTTTTAGGGACAAACAGACAAATTAAGAGAAAAATGATAGTGAAGTGAAACCCCAAAAGGGATTTATTGAAGTAAAACCCTAAGGGTATAATTGTCATTTTGATATTTTCGTTATGCGGGATTAGAGTTGACTAACGACTTAGGGAATAAAGTGAAAAAAAAAATGACGTTAGAAGGTAAAGTGTAAAACTGATTAAACTTAAGGAAAGCTTTTGTAATTAACCCTAAAAGAAATTGTAGAGCTCACATAGGGTTCACATGTCAGGCCTACATGTTGTGTCTAGTATTGACTAAGAATAAGGTTGATCCTATAAGCCCCTAACCTTCGTTTGGTAAAAAGAATAGGCTGAAATGGAAAGGACTTCCAATTTATCCATTCAATTCTCGCGTTTTAAAAATTCGAAAGTCCTCTTTCCTTAGAACGTTCATTCCAACTATTTCCTAAAAATGCATTCCTCATACAAAATTTAAGGAAGGTCCTCTCGAACATCATCTCGATCTAAATAGAATGTGAAGATAATCCTTATGCATCTTTTTAGTGAATCACCAAATCTTAGGATATTTGTTGATTTAATTAATAAATGACTGTAGCTTCTTTATAATAAACAATTCTATCTATGTTTAAAATTAATAATTTTTTTCCATACTTTGCTAACAAGCAAAACCTTTAAGATAATCTTTTTTTTTTTTTCATATTTCTATTATTAATTGATTTTGCTGATAAATTGCCTTATCAACGTACAAATACACGCAATCATCTGCCTCTTTGTTTTTACTTTACTCTCCAACTTAGCCATTTGTCTACAATTTTATGAACCACAACAAGGCCTTTGATCACATTGCCTTGAAGGCACACAAAACGGTATTTTCTGGAGCAAACAGAATCTTTACCATTTAAAATGAAGGATTTTGTTCTGACCTCCCTTAAACATGGCCTAGAATATGAAGATGTAGTAAACCGTCTAGATTTTTCTTCTTCCTTTTATTTTTTGGTAAAAATAAAATAGAAATTCGCTGTCAGGAGGTGACTATTCGTGAAGAGTAACACTTCCAGATAGAATTCCCCCGGAGTAAAAGCCAAGAAATATGATTACATATGATTATATTACCAAGTTATAACCTGAAAAAGTCAAATCAGTTAACATATTCCACCTGGTAATCCTATCTCACTTATAAACTGAGATTGGCTGATAGTATCTGCAGAGGAAATCGGAGGGCTACTTCGTTTTTCTGAACAGATGGAACCTTTTTCATGGTCGCCTCAAGCAAATCAGCAACCTGGCAGATTAGTATCAGCTATCAAGTCTGAACTCCCTTTCTCTATATTTATGTTCTTCTTGATCATCTCAAGAAATCAGCAAAAAAAAAAAACTTCAGCTTGGGAAAAGACCTGCAGTCCCAAGTAACTTTTCCTTAATCAAGACATTAGAACTTAAGGGGCTGCTTAAACTTGTTCAGGAGATCAAAGACATGGTTGAGCTTCTCCAGTGCAGAAGTTTAGCTAAAAACTTGGCTGGATTGAGCCTCCTTTTGTGTTTGGCAGCTATAGCAGTCCCTTCTGTTGAAGCTAAAGTTCGATATCATAAATGGGAGGTGAAATATCAGTATAAGTCTCCCGATTGCTACCAGAAACTGGTAATTACCATCAATGGAAGAAGTCCAGGACCAACCATCAATGCTCAGCAAGGTGACACAGTTATTGTTGAGATCAGAAACAGCTTGCTACTGGAGGATGTTGCTATCCATTGGCATGGAATCCGACAGGTAATTAAGAGCATTATGATATATTTATCTTCACTTTGTTCCTTTGAATGCACTGGATTCTTGATGTAAGTATGTAGCTAGATGTTAATATCTATTTTTGTTGATTGGTTGCAGCAAGGAACACCTTGGGCTGATGGAACAGAAGGGGTCACCCAATGTCCAATTATTCCAGGAGATACGTTTACATACAAGTTCGTAGTAGATAAAGTAAGTCCAACAGTTGACATAGTTTCTTTACTTGATTGCAACATACTACACTTGCCATAAAGTTTATCCGAA